TGGACCATGCGAGAAAGAGAATGCGCACAATGCATAAGCTGATTTATCTTCATAGGCCATCAGTAAGTTGTTCAGACCTGGACAACAGACAGACCAAGATTAGATGTTAGTGTAAGAGATAAATGAAAGAAAGGAAGAGGTCAGAGAAACAATTGACTTTTACAACCTTCATGTCCAAGCTTCTCAAGAAACCACTTGCTGCAAAAACAGAAAAGAAGATCGTAAGTGCAACAAAGAAGACTTCTAGAGACAGCAATATAGCTCTAACACAGGTAGTCCCACACTAAAATTCAATCTATTACGATAGTAGTAGATGCCAGCAAACATAGAGGTCTCTTCTACAATTCAGTCTACAATAAAAGAACTCCATTTGGCTATTCATTCAAACCATTTAGCAGCGGCCATGAAGAACTAATAACAAGACTTGATCCAACCCAACCAGTTAATTTTCCAGGACATCCATATAAAGGCACCACTTAAGAGAGCTTCAGAAGTAAAGGCCAGCATACATATATCAACGTAACACATCTATGTATGTAATTCCCTGAACTTAAGAACTCCTAATTTACATAAACCCTCATCATGACAAAATGGAGTTGGAGAAAATATATATTTCAAATTAATGTCTACAAGCACAGAACCAAGAGAGGAATGAAAGAAACAATACTTACATGTATGGCCCTGAAAAATTCAACAAAAAAGAAAGAATCAATATAAATTCAGACAATGTGTAAATTTAATCATTTGCTTTACATAGAGTAAATTTTAAAAAAAAACCTAGAATCTAAAGGAACTCATACCAGGAAGCCCCTTCAGAGCATTGAAACAGAGGCATGTATCCTCCACTAAGACTGGACCATTCACCTTCTCATTTACAAATCAAACAAACTTTATATCAGTTCTTACTATCCTTAACCTTAATCACCAACTTACTGATACTAGTCCACATTTAACAGAAGGAAGCATAAAATACAAGTGTATACAAGAACCAAACTATGATCACAAAAAAGCTTACACATAAACATAAGTATTCTGATTTTTATAATTAGTTCAAGTAGAAAAAGGGAAAAAAAGCTTGTGCACCTGAAGAGCAGCTAAACGAGCCTTCTCTTTGGAGATATCCTCAGGCTCACCTTGAAGCTCAGGCACTGCAACTCACGATGTACACAACTAAACAAATGAGACTCTTTAAGTAC